TCTGTATAACGTGTTTCAGTACTATGCTTTGAATTTGTTTTATTTCACACGTTTTGTGTGTGTGATTACGCTCCAATAATAAGAACATTAGGAATACAAAAATTCAATAAGACTTTATTTTCAGATATGTTTTATTTCACTATTCTGTGTTTGATTACTTCAGCATGGATCAAACTTTAAAAATAATTGAGAGAGCTGGTGATTTATCATATTATTTTTTGAAACATATATCCCATAAATTCTGTATATCATAATAATCGAACTCGGATATAATTGCTGAGAATTGAAAAAGGTGTTCAAGTGATCATTGCTCAATACAATTACCGTGGAATATATTATACATGCAATCTCTTAGCCTAACCTACATTAAGATCTTCGAGGGAGGTTGGCAACCTTCTCAAACCCCTGAGAAGTAAATTGTTGTTCAGTGAAAGTACAACAAAAGTAGTTATCGATGGAACCGTAGGAAATGGATACCATTCAAGCACAAAACTCAAGAAGTAAAACAATCGAGTTTCCAAATATTCTCAAATCCAAATTTAGTTGTGTTTCATCCTCAGTTCCCATTTTCGTAAGATGCTTGCTGTTTCCCTTTTATCAATTTTTTCGTATCTTATCTTGTGTAGATTTTCTCAACTATCTAAGAAAATTTTTATAATTAAATTTCAATACCTTTTAATTGCTGACCTTATTGCACGTTGACAATATTGTTATGTCTCTCATCTGTATACTCTTTTCCAGACTTCGGATGCACGCCATGGTTTTGATCAAGTTTGAAACGGATTTACAAAACCATGTAAATTAAACAGAACTAAGCTGATCTGTTAACCATATTCTCATGGATGATGGCATTTGCTTCAACTGCATATATATGTTGTCACTCTCTTTATCAAGACAGAATAGTAGAATAAAATACTAACTTGCATGCTCTCTCTATTTATAGAAAATAAGGAGGAGGGATGACAGAAGACGAATACGTAATGCATATATTAATAACACAAACATACGATTACATTCAGAACATTGCATAAGAAGTCAAGCACACGACATTAATATGACAAGTAACTTAGAAAAACAACAAAGCAGACCTTAAAGTAGAAGCAATCGGACAAACAGTTAATACAAGACATCAGTTTTTAGCTAATATTAATGTAATTTTTGAGAAACTGGTATGCCCTTTTGAAGTAGTAACACTCCTTGCAAAACTCTTTCATGTCATAACGGTCGCACTTTGACCCTGTGCGAATGTTAACCATGTTGATATAGTAGTCTTGTGGTATTGAAACATCGATTTTGCTGAGTGAGAGCTTGAGACTTTCCCAGCATTTATCAGAGGTGGACATTTTCTTTGACCATTTGAGTTTATCTAAATACTTCATGCCTTTAAGATAGTGACCTCGGACAAGCATTAGCAAACCATAAACATACATACCGTTTTTATTGCCTCCAAGAGCTGCTAGACGTAGACGACGGAGACCTCTACGTTCTTCCTTGTGGACAAAGTATTGTAATAACCCTTCAATGTAGAAAGCTTCGATGTTATGATTTTGTAAGCAAATTTCCTTTAACTTTGCATGTTCCTCCATCATCAGTACTGGATCAGAAACAAAATATCCGAGATCCATGTTTTGGAAATAGTGGCTGCGATCTAAGTTCGAGTCACCACTATCCCCGTCGTAGTTGGAGTCCCCATTTGTATCAGTGGTGTAGGCGGCATCACTGTGGTCAGAGTTGTAGTTCCTCACTGAGTTTTCAGAAACCATATTGTTTTGTGAAGAAGAAAGCGTAGAAGACAATATGAAAACATAAAAGAAATGATACAAAGCAATTTCAGCTCTTTATAGGAAGATTTTAAGAATATATTATCCCCTAACTCACTTACTTCAAAAAGCAAAAAACATATATTACTGAACATAGAAGAAGACAAATGACCAACATGTATCAATCTATCACTCTCTGTAACTTTTGAAACAACACTGTTGTTCAATGTTATGGTATTATTTTCGAGGAATACTTTGGAAGTAGAGAACATATCACTGTTGTTCTATGTGTTGTCACATAAATAAAAGTCTTGCAAGAAAATCTGTTCAATAAAGCTTCTCAAGTTACAGAAAAAGGTGATGTAAAAGGTGATAACTGATAACACACTGATCTAAATAAAAGTCTTGCCATGCGTTGGTTGTTTTGTTTGGTTTTCCTCAAGAGTTGTACAATTATAAATACAAATGTGTCTGGTCCGATTTACTTAATGTTTTAGTTAGAAATATGTTTATCGTCTTCTCATATAAATGCAAACTATTTTCTAATATATTGTTGATTGTATGAAATTGTGATCCATAAAGCCTGAGGACTTCATTGTTTGTTTGTGCAATTCGAGAGAGTGGACTCTAATTATATCTATACATTATGATAAAATAAAATTCTATCATTTCTTATCATACCTATTAAAAGTTTGGTCGACAAATACACAATTATAGTTTTTTAAGTAATTTATTTTTAAAAAGATTATTCAAATTTATTATTAATCTATAAATTTATAATAACAAAACATCTCCTAACAAAAATAATTAAGACACTTCAGCTATATTTTACGTTGACACTGGATTTCAAAAAAAAAAAAAAAATTGACTAAGGAAACAAACCCGCCCTTTTAAAGAACAACATTAAAATTTAGAATTATATTATTTTGTTCTACATATAAAGTCAATAACCCCAAAAACTATTGAATCTAAACTTTTATGTAAACAAGAACAAAATATTATTGCATCGAACATACACCCGGTTGAAAGATCTTTTGAGGTTTGCGGATTTAAAGCCGTCCAAAAATAATTGTGTATAAAGTTAAGAATTAATATATCTGAATCTATATTAATATATTACAGTTGTTATAATATATATCAATATATATATATATATATTTCACCTTACAAAGAAGTACATAATATCATCAATATTCATTGATATATTGTGAAATGAAATGAAATGAAAGATCGGATAAAACCAAAATTCTTAACGACCATCCACCTGAACCTATATACTCATATCTATACATACTTGGTAATAATCTAACAAAGACATAAATTTAAAGCAAATACGGTTGTCCCGCCCTCTGTAAGGGCGGGTCAAAATCTAGTATCCATTAAACTCCAAGCTGTAATTATCGCGTAAAGTAAGTTTACTATACGGGAAAAAAACTTTGAAAAAAAAAACAGGATTAAAATATTAACTGTCAAAAGGTCATCGTATCGATTCACTTTCCCGCCATCTCTCCCATCGTCGCCTCCATTCTCCCAGGAAACCCTATAGTTCACAGAAACCCTAAGGTGAAATTGCTCGGATTTTTATTTTGTGAGGATGGTATCGGTAAGCTGGAAGCATCACACGCTAATTTAGGCTTTGATTTCGCGAGGCCCTCACAAGGAGAAATAATTTCATTCAATCTTCACCGGAAGAAACCCAAGTTGGTCTCTCTGTTATTTGTTTCGGCAGAAATCTATAAGTGATTTTTGTGGGTTTGCGCCTGATGGGTTTATCAATGAATAAAAAAATCTGTTCTTTACTCAATTTGATCAGTCATGGGGTTTTGTTGTAGAATTGATTGTTTTCTTTATATTGATTGATGGTAATGGGTTATATTGAATGAGGTGGCACATGGAATCTAAGCGCATCATTATTCCTAAACCCTTTAGAGGGTCTCTTAATTAATTTTTATAGTTTTTAAAGTGTAAAAGTGACTTCAGAGACTTAAGAAAAGATTTGAAAATTTAGATGGTTTATTGCAAGCCTCTTAATTATAAGTTCTTAAAACACATTTAAAACACTACACCTTGGTCTCTATCTAGCAATTACACCTTTTGTTCTCTATCTAGTAATTACACATTCAACACACTACACTAGAGAACAAAAGGGATGTACCTAGCGACTTTGTTGCATCTTCTTTTAGAGGTCCCTGCCAAGAGCCGGCGAGATAGGAAAAATTCATAGTTGTGTGGCTGCTTCCTCAGGATAGAGTAGAGTATGAAGAGCAATACACAGAGGCAGGAGGTCCATAAAGGAGTACACCCTGTTACATAGGTCAAACATAATGAATATTTTTACAGTAAATGTCGAAATGAAACAAGAAGGGATCCAAATACAACTTTGGGAGGCTTTATTCCAACTCGTTCATAAATGTCAGGATCTGTGAGAGGACGTTCAATCCAGTCTCTTACATCTTCGAGTTGATGAGCCAACCCACCACTCACCGCACTTCCCACCTTCATCTTCTCAGACCTGTAAATATCAGAATCACAATCAAAGCTTTGGATCAAAACCAACAATACAATCAAAAAGGTGTGAAGGTGTACCAGAGACCGAAAGCACCAGTGGCGAAGAGAGCAGTTCAAGTCCCCCATTTATCGTTACCAGAAATGAGAGGCTTCACATCCTAAAAAGAGTAAACAAAAACTCCATCTCAGTTGTTATGAACATGAAATTGTTCATTAAAGAAGAAGAAAGTGAAAGCTTTACAAAATCAAAGGACTGTAAAAGATATCTAACTTGAATCCATTTTAGGAATCAAAACAACATAGTGCCACTCATATCTTCATGGACCTAAAATTGGAAATCACGTGTCAGCTATAATAAATCAGAAAGAAGCAATAGAGGTAATCGAATCAAAACCAAAGTAGCTATCTCAGAAACTTAAAAAAAAAAAGAAATCAAAATCCATATCATATAACAGAATCTCATTATATTCATATCATATAGTAATCTCATAGCAATAAATAAAATGGAGATCGGGAGGCGAGAGAGAGGCTGCAAGAAACGGAGATTGGTGATGAGAGACGTTGAGGAACGATGCGATAATCGACTGAGAGATGAAAAATGTTGGAGGAGGAGATGTCGGCGGTGTCGAAGTCGGTAGGGATGAACACGGTGGCGGAGAGAGAGATTCCAACTTGGTCTTCGACGGTGAAGACGAAATCGGAGGCCCAGTCGAGGAAAGTCACCTGCTCCGATCATCGCTTCAATGATTCTGCCGGCTTGGAGGTGATCTTGCGGCGTCTGTGACGGAGGATAAGCGGTGGAAGTGAGGAATGAGATGGTGGTGATGAGGAAGAGGAGAAGGAGATGAGTTGACGTGGCCATTTAAGAGATGTTCCTTCTCGTCCCCATATAAGAGACGTGTTTTCCGTTTTCTTCATTTTTTCATTTTTTTATTTGTAATTACATTAAGAGACGTAGATAAGGCACTGCGATATTGATGCTCTAAGGAATAAATATCCCAATGTTGAATATTAAAAGGAACTGTTTTCGATATTCTTCATTGGTTTTATTGTCAGGTGCTGTTAAGAAGATATTTTGACAAGTACCTTCTTGATATAAACAAAGTGCTCTCTTGTGTTCACTTTGAGTTGTCTCCGATGATCAATCTAAACTCGGGAATTGTAGGTTGCATTTGCACTACTTTTATCACATTAAAAATTTGAGTCTCCTATATGTCTTGCTCTATGTGCATTGAGATGATCATGTGTTGCATAGAGTGAAAACCTGTGTTAAGTGTTACTTGACATTGATGTTTTTAACTTTTGGCAGAAAGAAGCAATTGCACAGGTTGAAGCTGCTCAAGGTTGTATATCAGGCTTTGATGCCCTCAATATCCAATTGGAGAACCAGGTCTATGTAAGCTCAAGGTCTGTGAGCTTGTTCCGGTTAAGATGAGAGTGTGTTACACAGTGCGATGATTGTGTAACACAATGCAATAAGTTTGGTACGTGTAACGACGTGGCGTAAACTTATGGAAATAGAAGATATTGCTTGGGTGCGAAGCAAAGAAGATCTTCTGGTTGGCGATATTTTAGGAAATAGAATATTGTCTTTTTCATGCCTACTTAACGAGGCAACCTAAGTGTGTTTTAGGTTAAGCGTTAAGAGAGAAAAAGCTAGAGCAAGAGAGTTGTTCTTGTCGGCTACAGAGATCAAGGAAACAGGGGTTTGGCTTGGGTTTCTGTAACTTAGAGATTAGGAACTGGTCCGTCGCTAGTCGTGTGTGACTGAGCTTAAATCGGATTAAACAGATCTAGGAAGATTGTTTAAAAGGTTTCTAATATACAAGAAGTGTTCTTGAATAACTTGTGTACGGTTCTTATTTGCGTGTCTCTGAACTTTCATTTGGTATCAGAG